TTTTTAGTTATACTAACTACCATAAGTTTTCAAAAAAGATTATAATGGATGAAAAAGAAAAGCAATATACTCAGTGGACTCTGGATGAAACGAAAGTGTTGGTCGAACTACTTGTCGAGGGTATTCAACGTGGATGGCGTGACACTAGTGGTGTAATGAATAAGGCAACGGTGGAACATAAAATACTACCGGTCCTTAATGAGAGGCTTGGATGCCAAAAGACCCATAAGCATTATATGAGCAGAATGAAGTACCTCAAATCTAAATACGATATGTATACGGATCTTCAACGTTTCAGTTCGGGTTTTGGATGGGATCCAATTATGAAAAAGTTTACAGCTTCTGATGAAGTATGGCATAATTATTTTAAGGTATGTCTTTGACTCTAGTCGTATATATAGAACATTTTTAAATATATATGTTACTCAATCAACTAATTTTAAATTAATTTTGAATTACATATGTCTATATTTTGACAGGCACATCCACGTCACAAGTTTTTGCGCTATGAATCTAATGAACAGTTTGAAGATCTGCAAATTATATTTGATTGTACAACCGCTAACGGTAGCTGTTCAGTTGGTTTGGGTGATACTACTGATGCTCGCACCAACTCGGTTGGTGATAGTCATGCAAAAGAAACCGACAACGTTTTTGAGGTCGATGAAGATGGCTGTCCATTATCATCTCAACAACGATCATCCGAACATAATGAAACACCTTCTGCAGAAACAAGTTTGAAGGGTCGTGTTGAAAAGCTGGTCCCGAGGAAAAGATCTAGGACAGATGCCGTTAGGAATTTGGATGAGCTGAATAGTGATCACAATGATTCTATGATAGATGTGAGCAACAAGATACTTAGTGTCATACAACAAAGAGAAGAACGACAACAAAAAGAAGCTGAAAAACGAGAGGAAAAGTTAAAACTGGAAGTGGAGAAAAAAGAAGCTGAGAAAAAGAAAAACAATGTTTGGGATGCTATGAAAGAAGTTCCAAATTTGGATCAGCGTATCAAATTTAAAGCGGTTACCCTAATCTACTCTCTGGGAATGAAAGATGTGTTTACGGATATGTCGGTCGAAGAACGCTATGGTTGGATCCAAAGCAACATTAGCTCCGACTGATTTGTTTTGTTCTTGTTTCAGTATTTGTTTTTCTGGGTTTGTTTCGTTTTTATTATCGTAACACTATGTTATGATTTATGGGTTATTTAAGTTTGCTTTATGATACCAAACTAGATTTAAAAAAAATCTTTAGTTGAACTTATTATAATATTTTCAGCTATTATCATTATTTGTTTGTTACATGTGAGTGATGTCTCTCTTGTGGTATACGTACCATGTGACACTTTTATTTTACGTCTTTCTAGGCCTCTTACATACATTTTTCTTAACATTTTTTTGTAGGTGTATTATCATGGAAAGCACTACTGAAGAAGAAGAACAAATATATATTGAGAATGGAGCAACTCAAATAGAAGGATAAGCAGCTTTTAACAATCAATACGGGGCCTAGTTACTATA